AGATATTATTCTCAATATATGATATACTATAAACCACTAGCGGTACCGCCAGTAATGACGGCCCGGTACCGGTACTGGTACCGACTGCATACACTGACTGCATTTTTTCTTAGACCACATCTCTTCGCTCACGTGGAGGGCGATTTTCAATACATCTTTTTAAGCAGGCCAAAAGTATAAGATCGAATAGGATTTCGTTGATTCCTGATTTCTTTGAGTATTTTTCTCATAAAAACAGCCGCTGATTTCCAGAAGTGGCTGGAAGCTTGTAACATTTTGGATTCCGAGTCTTTGTCAACTTTTTTGTTTATTTTCTAGTCAATGATACTAGAAGATATATCTATCTTCGCCTTAATATACTTTTATTGGAAAGGGGGGGGGACTAGGACCATTCTTGGAGATATATCTATCTTCGCCTTAACATACTTTTATTGGAAAGGGGGGGGGGGAGTAGGACCATTCTTTCTCGCAGCCATAATTTTCACTTTTCAGTTGAGAGCCTTGCGTTGGTGTGTAGTTTCAGAGCCTGTTCATCTCCTAAAGACTGTGCTATAGGAGTTTTTGCCCTAAACAGTCTACCGATCCAGTACTATACATACAATTCGTTCAATTCAAGTTCGATTAACCCTTCGTATTTATGGTCTTTCGAGATACTCCGCGAATGTTTATTTTATTACATTATATTTTCAAAAGAAAATACACTATGGCTGTATGATTATATAACTAAGTATAAATAGATACAATTACTTCTGCTTCATTTTGAACACCAAAATAAATGCGGCAAAGTCTAGCATTACGTTTGCGTAATCAGTACTCGCGTTCTATGTGTCACTATTTACAATCATTTATAGAAATACGCTAATAATCTACTTTTTATTGTATTAACTTCGTAAGAAATAATGTCACATAATAGACGAGAACACAAATGTTAAAATTATTTAACTCTTCGAAACCAACCCAAATACTCTATTTTTTTGATATCCTACATCTTACTTGTATAGATTACATCAGCTTACAGGGGCAAAAACTATCTTGCACTACAATTAACATCAGCTTACACTAGCAAAAACTATCTTGCACTACAATTAACATCAGCTTACACTAGCAAAAACTATCATGCACTACAATTAACATCAGCTTACACAAGCAAAAACTATCTAACACTACAGGTCACATTAGTTTACAGGGGCAAAATTTAACTCAACTGTTCATTACGACATTATACTAGAATAACTTTTAGCGGATTATCTGTTAATGAGACAATAATTTTCGTTAATATACATCTAGGGGGTATGTGTATAGAATAAAAAAAAAGCTTTTAAGAAATAAAAAGTATGTTGTTCGCAAGTGTTAAACATTGTTGTTGTTTTCTGGAACTAAACAATAATCTATTGTGAAATGACGGTTTGTTAAGGAAATGGAAACCTACAACGCTCTTTAAAAGTAAACCACTGAGAGGTAACTCTCTCTCTCTCTCTCTCTTGGTAAAAAGTTTTTAGTTTGGTAGACTTAACAATGTGAATAATCTCTAATAACACTGAACGTCTATTCTAGTTACTATAACGTTACCTCCAAGCAAGTAAAAATAACATACATCGTTAAGTTCTCGCCTGACGTTTAGGCGGAGAAAAAATGTCAAGATAGCGTGGCGTCTGCCGTCTTTGATTGGCTGTTCTTAACACAACCTGTAATTTGTGGAGCTTATACAGTAGCCTAAGGTCAGGGCTAAGAATGTGCACATTGACACTTCAGGCTATGTCGATTAATGATTACACGCTTTTTTTATTTAATTTGTTCGGTTTCGAGTGACTGCACACGTGCATGGTTATAAAAAGAAGTTGATGATTAGCTGTTGGTTGCTGCATGATTAAAGCCCTTTAGGTGCAGAGTAGAATAGAAGCAGATGTGTTGGGCTTGAATAAGTAGTAACTTATACGGTCTTTATCTCGATTCATACCTACCATGACCTTATCTTTCTGTAGTTTGAAAAACTAAAATATATTCCTATTAAATGCTTTATTTGGAAAAAATAGCGATGTCATCAGGGAAGTTATAATGTGACAGTCATTTCATTATTCGATTAGAGTAGCTCAAGAGTATTAGTGAGTGGTGTTTACTAAGTGCCTTCCCTCTAGTCTACCACTTCTATGTTAGGAACGATTAGCGCGAATACACCACGAGTAGCTTTCCGCGAAATTCAACAAAACAAACAAACAAAATAGCGCATATATATATATGTATAATTATTTAAGGATTTCATAATATATGTTACTAGCATAAGTTCCAAAATTCAAGTCACACTTCACATTTCGAAATTATTTATATAACAACAAGGTAAAAACAAAAACTGTTCTCCTTCATATGGGCAATAGAAAGTTGGAACAAACAATTTAAATATGAAAAAAACTAGGCATCTCACGATGAACACCGTCGAATTAATTCAACTTAATTCGCCCCCCCCTCAGTGGTACAGCAGTACGTCTGTGGACTTATACTGCTAGAAACCGGGTTTCGATACCCTTGGTGGGCAGAGCACTGATAGTTCTTGTGCTTAATAACAAACAACAACAACAACACCAAATTAATTTAAAATAAGACACATATTTCAAGCATAAAATGATTTTTGAATTTCAAATTTAGAGTAAGAAAATATATTTTGAAATTAACGATACAAATCTTAAATAAACAAAATGAATAAACTTTAAGTGGCCCAGAATCTATGGTCTACTCTTCTAAGTTTACAAATAATAAACGCATTACAATTTTAGCTCTAACATTTAATGTTTTTTTTTGTGTATTTGTTATATATTCGTGTTTATTGAAATTTGATTACAGCAAAAATGGACACTAACAATTGACATTTGCCTACTTAGAGGTACTTCTTTCAGGATTTTTTGTTTGGCATCTATACAGATATCTTAATCATTTCAATATTGTGTTTGTTTGTTTTAGAGCAAAACCACAATGGGCTATCTGTTGTGGCCACTGAGTGGATTCTAGCCTCGGATATTAGCATTGTAAGTTCGTAAACTACCCCCTATCCCACCAGGGAACAATCACGTCAACTAGGAATGATTTATCTAACAGTTGTTATTGACACGGAGAAATCTGTAGCACTTTCCAATTGCTACCTTTATTGACACAAAGAATGTTCCATCATTTTTTGTTCACTACACTTATTGACAGGGAGGATGTTCCTCCATTTTTTATGCATAATAGAAAATTTATCAGGATATCGCTTTATTGTCCTGATACTGAAAACAATATCAGGTTCACCGTTTCATTATTTATTTTATCTCGTTAGGTTTAAATGCATCATAAGGTCCACGAAACGAGTCTTAACTATACATAAAATATAAACTTACAAGGCCTGCGCACTAGATTTTCAATATAAAGTAAATTTTTCTGAGTCCAAACAAATGAATAAAAATATAACAAAACACCTAGTAATATGTGCGTTTCTACTTAACTACATGATTCGACTCTTAATATACACCTGGAAAAAAGTTAAGCACCCCCAAATATTTTTCAGGATTGCT